AACACACACCCACTCACTCACACTCCCCCACTCACACACCCAACACACACACACACACACACACACACATCACTAATACACACACACACACACACAGACAGAGAGACACGCATCACTAATACACACACACACACATCACTGATACACACACACATCACTAATACACACACACATCACTGATACACACGCACACACACACAGACAGAGACACACATCACTAATACACACACACACATCACTGATACACACACACACACACAAACACATCACTACACACGCACACACACACAGACAGAGAGACACATCACTAATACACACACACACATCACTGATACACACGCACACACACACAGACAGAGAGACACATCACTAATACACACACACACATCACTGATACACACGCACACACACACAGACAGAGAGACACATCACTAATACACACACACACATCACTGATACACACGCACACACACACAGACAGAGAGACACATCACTAATACACACACACACATCACTGATACACACGCACACACACACAGACAGAGAGACACATCACTAATACACACACACACATCACTGATACACACGCACACACACACAGACAGAGAGACACATCACTAATACACACACACACATCACTGATACACACGCACACACACACAGACAGAGAGACACATCACTAATACACACACACACATCACTGATACACACGCACACACACACAGACAGAGAGACACATCACTAATACACACACACACATCACTGATACACACGCACACACACACAGACAGAGAGACACATCACTAATACACACACACACATCACTGATACACACGCACACACACACAGACAGAGAGACACATCACTAATACACACACACACATCACTGATACACACGCACACACACACAGACAGAGAGACACATCACTAATACACACACACACATCACTGATACACACGCACACACACACAGACAGAGAGACACATCACTAATACACACACACACATCACTGATACACACGCACACACACACAGACAGAGAGACACATCACTAATACACACACACACATCACTGATACACACGCACACACACACAGACAGAGAGACACATCACTAATACACACACACACATCACTGATACACACGCACACACACACAGACAGAGAGACACATCACTAATACACACACACACATCACTGATACACACGCACACACACACAGACAGAGAGACACATCACTAATACACACACACACATCACTGATACACACGCACACACACACAGACAGAGAGACACATCACTAATACACACACACACATCACTGATACACACGCACACACACACAGACAGAGAGACACATCACTAATACACACACACACATCACTGATACACACGCACACACACACAGACAGAGAGACACATCACTAATACACACACACACATCACTGATACACACGCACACACACACAGACAGAGAGACACATCACTAATACACACACACACATCACTGATACACACGCACACACACACAGACAGAGAGACACATCACTAATACACACACACACATCACTGATACACACGCACACACACACAGACAGAGAGACACATCACTAATACACACACACACATCACTGATACACACGCACACACACACAGACAGAGAGACACATCACTAATACACACACACACATCACTGATACACACGCACACACACACAGACAGAGAGACACATCACTAATACACACACACACATCACTGATACACACGCACACACACACAGACAGAGAGACACATCACTAATACACACACACACATCACTGATACACACGCACACACACACAGACAGAGAGACACATCACTAATACACACACACACATCACTGATACACACGCACACACACACAGACAGAGAGACACATCACTAATACACACACACACATCACTGATACACACGCACACACACACAGACAGAGAGACACATCACTAATACACACACACACATCACTGATACACACGCACACACACACAGACAGAGAGACACATCACTAATACACACACACACATCACTGATACACACGCACACACACACAGACAGAGAGACACATCACTAATACACACACACACATCACTGATACACACGCACACACACACAGACAGAGAGACACATCACTAATACACACACACACATCACTGATACACACGCACACACACACAGACAGAGAGACACATCACTAATACACACACACACATCACTGATACACACGCACACACACACAGACAGAGAGACACATCACTAATACACACACACACATCACTGATACACACGCACACACACACAGACAGAGAGACACATCACTAATACACACACACACATCACTGATACACACGCACACACACACAGACAGAGAGACACATCACTAATACACACACACACATCACTGATACACACGCACACACACACAGACAGAGAGACACATCACTAATACACACACACACATCACTGATACACACGCACACACACACAGACAGAGAGACACATCACTAATACACACACACACATCACTGATACACACGCACACACACACAGACAGAGAGACACATCACTAATACACACACACACATCACTGATACACACGCACACACACACAGACAGAGAGACACATCACTAATACACACACACACATCACTGATACACACGCACACACACACAGACAGAGAGACACATCACTAATACACACACACACATCACTGATACACACACACACACACATCACTAATACACACACACACACACACACACACATCACTAATACACACACACACACACACAGACAGAGAGACACGCATCACTAATACACACACACACACATCACTGATACACACACACATCACTAATACACACACACATCACTGATACACACGCACACACACACAGACAGAGACACACATCACTAATACACACACACACAAACACATCACTGATACATACACACACGCACACACACACACACATCACTGATTCACACTTACACACACACACACAAACACACATCGCTGATACACACTTACACGCGCACACACACACACACAAACACATATCACTGATACACACTCACACACGCCACATGTGTTAATGGCTCAGACACTCACAGGCTCTGAGTGAATGTTTTTAGGGTCACAGAGGTCAGTTCATATGTTTTATCTGTTGTCAGATGTCACTCAAATAATTTTCCACATTCACATGCAGTCATTTACACTCATACTGAAGCGTTTGCATTGTAGAGTCCTGCATATGTATAAGACATCTATGAATTATATTTATTAATCTTTTTAAGTATATATTATAAAAGACTTTTGGTCTTCACATTGATTAGTTATGTGTGTGTGCAGTTATCATGCTATTCTCAGAATCAGTTTTTATATACAGTGGAGTGCAGCTGATCCTGCAGCGTGTCTTTTGTTAGTCATTCTCAGGCGACGTGTAGCGTAACGTGTCCGTAAATGATCGAATGTTAAAGCAGAAGTAGCTAATCAGAGTTAAACTGAATGAAATTCCCCTGTAAACTTGTGTGTGTGTGTTTCGCAGGAAGGGACACAAACGTGTTGGTCTACATCAAGAGAAGACTCGCCATGTGCTCCAGAAAGCTCGGCCGCACACGAGAAGCTGTCAAGATGATGCGAGACGTGAGTGACCTTTGACTCCTGACACACAGAAGAAACGAAGGTGTCGAACAATCGCTAACTGTGTGTTTTAGTGCTACACAACCCTGTTGATTATCAGAGTCTCACCGATGACATCAGCGAAACAAGAGAAGCATTACAGTAACAGAGAAAAGAGGAACAAACACATGAAACAAAACTCCGGTGAGCTTCAGTTCCTCTCCACCTCTGGATTCACTTCCTGTCTCACTCACTCACTCACTCGCAAAGACACACGCACACACACACACACACACACACACACATGCTCTAACCTAGGCAGTAGGGTTGAAGAGTACTCAGGTCACATTGACAAACAACAGAACCAGAACAGAAGTGCTGGCCACCACTGAACTAAAACATGGAAACAAATTAATGAAACATGCCTGCAAATTAATGTCATGGGAAAGGATTCGTAACATCTGTTTTCTAATATTTATTTATTTCCGCATGTCATGTGTGGCTCTGTAATAGCGCATTCTCACGCACCGGTAGTTCAGTTTATCTTTCTCCGGCAGCACAGCATCCAATAGAAATGCCTTACTCATGCGGAAGATATCGTTTGCTTTCCTGACATTTACAACCAGTGTCAGCTGCTGCTTTGCAATACTGAGAGAAAATATGAAGATATGAGAGCAGAGCGGAGCTCTGTCCTGCTCATCTATGATGAAACATTTTCTTTGTGGGGAAATTTAATTTAACTTGACTTCCTTCAGAAATTTCCACTGCTTTCCATGTTCAAGTACTGTGAAAGAGCATTCAATTTAAAACAGCACAAAGTCTGAATGACATTAAAAGCATAATTTGTACACTGTGTGTTATTTGTGGACCGTCACAGCCCTCGCTTGAGCTGAAGAAGCGTCTCTGAAGCGCTCACAGGACTCCTGTCAGCAGACACTTTTGCTGTGTAATTTGAATTATCTTACAGATATGGAGTATGTACTTCAGCATTATCTCACCTGTGAGTCGTGATGTGAAACGCTTTGTTCTCGTCCACAGACATCAGTTTGCCAAAGTCTGCAACCATCTGCTACACAGCGGCGCTGCTGAAGGCCAGAGCCGTGTCTGACAAGTGAGTCTCCATCAACACACTTCAGCACGTTCACAATATTAATGCATGTGCTGATGGAAAATGCTATTTTAATTGCAAAATAAATTAATGCTATATATATATATATATATATATATATATATATGAGGTTACTTTCACATGAAAGCAGAAATCCACTAGCTTTGCACCAGCTTTATTTTGAGTCCACAGTAAGACACTCCACGTCAGCGAGCAGTCATTACAGTATCAATGACCGTCTGCTTAATATCTGCTCACACTTGATTTTAATGGACATTCTACTGACTTAATCAAAAAAATCAAGTGTTCCCCAGCTTTCTCTTTTTTCCCCTGACCCAGACGAGCCTAACAGTGCACACATACAGAGACAAACTGTGCTTAAAGGGCCAGTTCACCTCTGACTGAATATTCTGTCATCACTGTCAGTTCTAGACAGCACGAGTCCCGAGTTTCTCAAATCACATTAGTTCTGCTGTAAAGTGTGTCCGTGCTGTCATCATTCTAGTCTCACCTCAGTCTGGGGGGTTTGTGTGCGTCTGCAGGTTTTCTCCAGAGGCGGCGTCACGCAGAGGGTTGAGCACAGCAGAAATGAACGCAGTAGAAGCCATACACAGAGCGGTGGAGTTCAATCCACACGTACCGAAAGTGAGCCTCTTCATCTTCATCATCCTCCTCCTCCTCCTCAGCCGTAACCTGCCTCTCGTTCTCTCCGCAGTACCTCTTAGAGATGAAGAGTTTGATTCTGCCTCCGGAGCACATCCTGAAGCGCGGCGACAGCGAAGCCATCGCCTACACCTTCTTCCACCTGCAGCACTGGAAGCGTGTGGAGGGCGCGCTCAACCTGCTCCACTGCACCTGGGAGGGGAGTGAGTGACCTCTGACCCCTCCGATTTAACACAGTCACTGTCTGATTGATTATTCTGCACTGCGAGTACACCTTTTGTCAGTACGGTGTTATGACCAAAAAAAGGTGTCTTGGATTACGCTTTGTCTTTTGGCTCAACTCGGATCAGATCCAGAGGCCAGTTTAGTTGTGTAGCTCTTTACTCGTTGTTTCAAAGCAGCTGTACAGATGTTATAATGTCTTAAAGCCCAGTTGTTCACACTGATCTCTTCAGAGCTGGATAATAGTGTAGTTCACACATGAAGATCATAGCAAATCTCAACTGCTTGTTCGTTAAAATAGGATATATTTACAGTAGTTACAAGTTGTGGTTATTCATTATGCAATTCAGCCTTCATGCAGATTAAAATCTCTGGGTGACAGAGTTTGTGGAGTACACTCGCTTTAACTGATAAGAATGTCCACACATCAGGTGGATTTAAGAAACGGTTAAAAACCCATCTTTTTAAGATTGTGTATGTCTTAATTTTATTTCTCTCTCTTTTATATTCTATTGCTGTTGTGTTTTATAAATAGAATGCATTATTATTATTATTATAATGATATGGAAATATGTAAGGTTTTATTTATAACAATTTGGTGTAGTCAAGTCACCTTTATATCCGGCGCTTCATACCAGACAGTTTCTAAGCAGCTTCAGTGATAAATAGGAAAATAACAGTGTTAATGTTTTAAAATTCATCAGTTAGTCATCAGGAATAAATGCCTTTAGTTCATGTCTTTTAAGAGGCAAACTTTTTTTTTTCAATATAAAACTTATGTCGAAGTGTTCAAGTGAACATCAGAAAAACTGCTGGTGACTCACTGTTGCTCCGAAGCTTAGAAATGCATTTTAAAAACCACTTCTTTGTGTTGATTGCTCAGCTTTCAGAATGATTCCATATCCTCTGGAGAAAGGCCACCTGTTCTATCCGTATCCCGTCTGTACAGAGACAGCGGACAGAGAACTGCTACCAAGTAAGAGATTTTCCTGCATCTCACCTGTAGATGAAGAGTAGTGTTTCTGTCACGTCTGACGTCGTCTGCAGCGGAATCTCTCAGAGCCTGTTAGTGGACTATACGAGTACATTAGGCCTTTCAGTGTAACTGTACAAACGTCCAGCTTCAGCTCGAGCTTCTCGTGTCAGATTTTGACTGATTTTGATCAAGTAATAACTGCAGTAATATCTCTAGATGAACACTTACTGGACTGAAGCAGCTCAGCTTTACTTGATTCTCCATCAATCATGTTTTAGTCTCAAATCTGATCCTCAGGATCTTTAGAGGAGCGTTTGTTTCCAGAAGCTTTACTTTCACTGTTCCTCAGCGGAGGAATGATCTTCACAAGCCTCCAGAACATCTCACATCTTCTGAGGAGCCTTTATTTCTTCAGCTCTCAATCACTGCATTATATGTTTGGAGCATTTCAATCTCATCTTACTGAGACGGATTACTGCAGATATAGAGTGCTCTGTGTGTGTGTGTGTGTCTCTCTGTGTGTGTGTGTGTGTGTGTGTCTCTCTGTGTGTGTGTGTCTCTCTGTGTGTCTTTCTCTCTGCTTGTGTGTGTGTGTGTAAGCAGTGTTCCACGAGGTGTCAGTGTATCCCAAGAAGGAGCTGCCGTTCTTCATCCTGTTCACGGCGGGTCTCTGCTCCTTCACAGCTATGCTGGCGCTCCTCACGCATCAGTTCCCAGAGCTCATGGGAGTGTTTGCTAAAGCCGTGAGTGTCACACACTTCAGTACTCCAGACAAACACACCACCGTTGAAGGCTTTTCATTTTCATCAGTACCATCAGCTCTGATGAAGAACTGTTTGAATGACACTGATACGCAGGGTTTGGCCAAACATACGGTTTTTAAAAGATAACTCATCATGCTCATATTTGTATTTGAAATGTAAATTCTTCACATAGGGCTGAAAGATTCATCTTAAGAAAATATGACCAAGTTTATCTCTACCATTGTGTTGCTGGACCAATATTTAATTACTTTCCCCATGTTTTCATAGAGACTAATATCTAATTTCTGCTGAAATATAATCAGCTGGTGGCACATCTTACCCCATTGCCTCCTATTTTGTTTTACTGTGAAACTGTTTTTCAGAAATGAATTAGCTATAAAATGCAGAGGTGGCCAGATTAAAAATAATCAGAAGAAATCAATCCAGCTAAAGACTCTTGAGTTCTTGACTGAGTTCTCTGGATCTCTCCGTATTAAACCAGTTCTTCTCTTCACGTTCACAGTTTGGTCTGTGTTGTAGTCTTAACCTCTGAATGGATTTGTGTTAGATCACTGCATGCTTCTGCTTGCTGAAGATGAATCACTTCCAATTCCTCATCTGCAGTGTTGGGGAACGTTACTTTTAAAAGTAATGCATTACAATATTGTGTTACTTCCTAAAAAAGTAACTAACTGTGTTCTTAGTTACTTTTTATGGAAAGTAATGCATTATGTTACTTTTGCATTACTTTTTCTCATCTGGGCTGGGCTTGCTTGTTTGTTTTTAATATAAAAAAAGTTATTATTTTGTTATTATATATGTTACTATTTTTGGCAAATACACATCTGTACAGTAGAGGCTCCGCTCAAACAAGCCTTTCAGCTCTGCTGCTGCTCTGGATTACATGAAGAATTGGATGCAAGAGAAGAAAGCTCAACACTCTAAAGGAATAAAGAAATGTAAATAAAACACAAATGTTAAGATTTATCTTAAGTCACTTTTGCTCATTAGTATGGTTGAGTTGGATCATTGAAGGTCAGCAGCATAGACACTGGTTAGGTTTGCATTGCACTGTTTTTATTCTTTTTTTTTTGAAGGAACACTGAATGTGTTTGTGTGCAGTGAGATGAGTAAACACATGTTGATATTTAGTCTAGAACTACAGTAAGATCGTGTTCACACACAACACTCTGCACTTACTCCTGATTTCTGTCACCATGGCAACACCAGAGCTGTCACTCAATACATGGAAACAAAGTAACTATGTTACTAATTTGAAAAAGTAACTTAGATGTTTCATTTTAAATCAAAAGGAAATGTTACTTTACTAGTTACTTGGGGAAAGTAACTCATGTTACTTGTAATGTGTTACCCCCAACACTGCTAATTTGTACCAAAATGTATTTTTGTGTTTTTATATGAATCTTTTGATTATATTATTGGATGTAATTTAATACGGAGGCTATCTTGTCTGAGAGTAGTGTTCAGACTGCAGATATCTCACTTGTTTCTGTCTCGTCCTTCAGTTCCTGAGCACTCTGTTCGCTCCGCTGAACTTCATCATGGAGAAGGTGGAGAGCATTCTTCCCTCGAGTCTGTGGCACCAGCTCACGCGGATCTGATCTCACGGATATGCATTATTATTGACTGAGGTGCCAAGTTCTTCAGAAGTGCCCCGACAGCCAGGAAACAAGAGAAACACAACCCACATCAGACGCAGAAGGAATTTATTTCCCCCTCGATCTCCTGTAAATCTTTTCTGTTGAAAACTTTTAAACGCCATCAGTATCTAAAGAAACAATAAATCAATTTCTGTACTGCGGCAAAACAGACGTCTCCATTTTTGAAGTCTTTAGGAGAAAATCATCTTCTCCGTTGTGACTTTCTCTGTTCTCGAATTGGAAAAATTGTCTGAAAGCTGCAGAATATCATTGATCGACGTGTGTGGGCTTCTTTTACACACAGAAACAAAAAAGTGGAGTCTTTGACCTGTCAGTTCATCTTTTCTTTTTTTATATTATAATGTGCTATTCTATATGCTTGTGCTGCTGGTGCTGATTCATGCCAGGATCTTTAAGAATCATCTAGAACGGGTGAAAGAGAGACGTACTGTACTGTAAAAACACACCACATTCCCTGGCCTGTCATCTCTTTTATACATTGAGTTATAAGTGAGATCAAAGATTGCTTTGAATGTATGTTTAGATCGGGGGTTTCCAACCTGCAAGATATTTTTAAAAATAATTTGGTTTACTATTAAGAGGGCATGACGTGTAATCTGAACACTGGGTGTCGCTATCACACCCCAATCACAAAGCATCATGTGGATTATCAGTGTGTGCTGTTCACATGGAAGCAACACTATCTAGGCTACAAAAACAAAAAAGATAAGCTCATTTATAAACAGGGTTGCCAGGTCTGCGTTACAAAATCAGCCCAACCGCATTCAGGGGGCGGGGTGTTGTCGCTTCAACCTTTATTTCTTTATTTTATTATTGTTGTTATGTTTTGCAGTCTATGGCTTCAACCCATGGACTAAAAAAACCTGCGGCAACAGTATAAATGTAGCACAATTTCACGGGAAAATCCACGGCAATGTTCAGATGTATAATTAACGCTCTTTGAAGAAGACATGAAGAGTAACACTTTTTTATTTTACTGTAGGTATTTGGAAATGTAAGTAATTCTGCGGCTCTCCATTCTCAAGTGAATGATTTGGACATTGACTGATGCTCTGTTAATGACATTAATTAGGCGGCGTTTACAATTTAAGGCGGAGATCTGATCTGAAACCATTCAGCTGCACACCATTTCAAAATCATTTGCGATTTATAGATTTCACATCTGGAAGAGAGTCATACACACGTTTTCTGGTCGCACGTTCGTTCTCTGTCTGAACATTTGAGAAATAATCTTAAGATCAACATTCTACGCAACATCTTATAACTGAGGCCCCGTGTGTCGTGGATCAGTTAGCTTCATGCGAGAGGTGAGTCTTCAGCTTCTTGAGAGCTGTGATGGTCTCAGCAGATTGATGGAGGTTTGCAGCTGATTTCAACAGAAGAACAGAGAGAGTGAAGGTGCTGGAAATCACGCTTGTGTCTCCTGAAGCAGCAGTGATCACGGTTACAGGTGAGATTATAAAGTGAAGGAAGATTGTTATTGGTTTATTGGTTCTAAAATAGACACTCGTTTTAGTGAATGTTTATCCATATTATGCACAAAACAATGGTGAGGGAATGACTGACTGATGCTTGATACTTAGACATTAACTTAAACAGCTTTTTATTATTATTTTTTTAAACATGAAATATGTGAAACAATGTCTTAATATTATGAACTCTTTATCTGTAGGTCAAAGGCCATGTACCAAAAACCTTCAAACTGATAGTTGCATCTTATTTCAGAAACCGCTCAGAGGTTTGCAGCTGATTTCAACAGAAGAACAGAGAGAGTGAAGGTGCTGGAAATCACGCTTGTGTCTCCTGAAGCAGCAGTGATCACGGTTACAGGTGAGATTATAAAGTGAAGGAAGATTGTTATTGGTTTATTGGTTCTAAAATAGACACTCGTTTTAGTGAATGTTTATCCATATTATGCACAAAACAATGGTGAGGGAATGACTGACTGATGCTTGATACTTAGACATTAACTTAAACTGCTTTTTATTATTATTTTTTTAAACATGAAATATGTGAAACAATGTCTTAATATTATGAACTCTTTATCTGTAGGTCAAAGGCCATGTACCAAAAACCTTCAAACTGATAGTTGCATCTTATTTCAGAAACCGCTCAATGGAATTAAGACTAATATATAGGATTGTGGCAACAACATGCAAGTTGGCAGGGTATATGTCTTTGCCCTGTGAGAGAAAAATGAAAAATTAAGCAGACTACCACTTGCCATTCATATATGAAAAGAAGAAATTCTCTAAAAAGTCTAAAATAAACTACAGCTGATATAAAATAATGTGAAAAAGATTTATGCATGCGCTCGAGCCTCTTCATAGATGAGATTCATGCAGGTATTTCCAATCTGCAAGAGATAACAATCAAAATAGCTAGCACATACACAAAATCTAAGTTCTTTGAACAAAGAAAACAAAAACATGTACATCTACCTGACCGTCAATAAGTAGCCTACTTTTATTGTCTGTCGGTATAAATTATATAGACCTATCTATTAACATTGAAATTAATTGACATTGACTCTTAGCTAATCATTTAATTATAAATGTTGCACGGTTGCTGAACAATAATAACTTTATCGATTATTTAACACCTCTTATTCATGTCATTTCCTGACTTGGTCTGTTCTATAGCTCATACTGTACAGCATCAGTATGAGCTTTTTTCAATGTCTGATTTTCTTAATGTATCGAAGCGTTTAAACAAGAAGCCCCAACTCTTTCGCTAAGATCTCGTGGCGCAACGGTAGCGCGTCTGACTCCAGATCAGAAGGTTGCGTGTTCAAATCACGTCGGGGTCAAGCTGTCTCTTCTTGACATCAAAAGTGTGAAGTCCAACGTCAAGTGTGTTCATTCAGCTTTTTTCAATGTCTGATTTTTTCTTAATGTATCAAAGCGTTTAAACAAGAAGCCCCAACTCATTTGCTGAGACCTCGGGGCGCAACGGTAGCGCGTCTGACTCCAGATCCAGAAAATGTGGAAACGTGTGTGCTGAATTTAAAACTTAACTCCTTCAAGCCGGAATCAAACCAGCAACCTAAGGACAGCCAACACTTCATCTACAGTCCTCCGCTCTACCAGATGAGGTGTCGAAGGATGGAAAAATCCCAAGCCACAACAACACACCAAGAAATTCAGAAAGCCTTACCTCTTTAGGTTATTGGGTGAAATTAGTCTGCTTTTTGTGGTGAATGCATCAAGGACCCTACACAGGAAGCACCACCTTGTTTTCTGGGACCTCGTGGTGCAAGATCAGAAGGTTGTGTGTTCAAATCACATCGGGGTCAATCCGTCTCTTCTTGACATCAAAAGTGTGAAGTCTGACATCAAATGTGTTTACTCAGCTTTGGTTTCATAATCAACAATGTTCCTTGTGTAATGTGATTGATTTGGATCTTGACCTATGGGCTTTTTTTATGTGGCAATACAAACTCAGAAGAAAATGTGGAAACGTGTGTCCTGAATTTAAAACCTAACTCCTTCAAGCCAGAATCGAACCAGCGACTTAAGGACAGCCAACACTTCATCTACAGTCCTCCACAATACCAGCTGAGCTATCGAAGGACGGAAAAAAATCAAGCCACAACAACACACCAAGAAATTCAGAAAGCCTTACCTCTTTAGGTTATTGGGTGAAATTAGTCTGCTTTTTGTGGTGAATGCATCAAGGACCCTACACAGGAAGCACCACCTTGTTTTCTGAGACCTCGTGGCGCAAGATCAGAAGGTTGCGGGTTCGCAACGGTATTGCGTCTGGCTCCAGATCAGAAGGTTGTGTGTTCAAATCACGTCGGGGTCAA